GTTGAAAATTTGGTCGAAATTGATGCATTGTAACGAAAGTTTTTAGCGAACACCACTTATGAAATTTGCATTTTATTAATATAGATAGACTAGCGGATGTACCCGGCTTCACCCAGGGTTTTACCCGAGGAAAGGTTTGTCTAACGAACATTTGTTAAAACAATTATCTATAAACTTATAAAAAAAAAAAGATATATTTTGATAATTTGAAACTCGTAAATTTGAATCTCTCGATAAAGTGAACATTTTTTCCCGGTCCCTGTGTGCCGTGTCATCCTGAATTTTGTCTTTCCTAATTTTCTACATTACAAAATCATCGTTTTATTTAGTGAACATTTTTTCCTGGTCCCTTGAAAAATACTCGATAAGTTGAATAAAATCAATATTAATTGGTTCCCTCGGTAATTGGAAGTTAAACGAATAGTATCTTCGCCTTGGAATTGTATCATTATTCTTGTCTCAAATAAATTGCAGTGTCATCCTGAGATAATCTTACTTTTGATAAATAATCTTTAAGATAATAAACTTAGTGATAACTTGTTAAAAAACTTGTTACATCGTCGCAATGGTGGCACTGCTTGCGAGTTAAATCTACAAATCTGCAAATAACTCTAAGGATATTCAAGATATTCAAGAAATTATTTTTCAAAAACCTTCCCGGGGATATACCTAATAATATCCCAAAATTTCACGGCGATTGGATGTATGGTTTTTGAATCTATAGAGTACACAGACAGACAGACATTCAATTATATATATATAGATATATAAATATATTCAATGAATCATCTTTTGAATCAAATTAATTATTTTTTGATAGATGGTTTTTTTATACCTTTCCATTCAGCATGGAGTGGGTGCTGCAGGTCTGAAGCACAAAGTCCTGGAGATGTTCCTCTGCTACAACCCTCTGTGGCTCAGGATTGGGCTTGAGGTAAGTTTGGGATGTTTGTGCATCACAGGACTGGGATAGCTGCTGGAAGGATAGCCCTTCTTGACACTTGAAATAATCACCTAAAGCTTCTGTTTTTATTTTTTCTTATCCCCTTGTGTAAAGAATATACGAATTCCATGAGTTCATGCTTCTCAAATTGTTTTATGATAAGCAGTGACCTCTCCCAAAGGTCCTGTTTAGTACATCTAATGTAAGCCAAAATATGTTATGGAGCTGTAGGTGCCAAGCTACATCCTAAAGCTTCTAAACCATTTATTTATCCAAACATTATATGTTCTCCCAATAAAATATTCTCTAAGAAATGTAACCATTAAAGCATGAAAGTTTCTTTAACACATAAAACAAACTTCGAATGTCGTTACTGCGATGAAAATATAGGGAGAGCTTGAATTATTGTGGTGAGCCCTCCCAGCAGTTTCTCCAAAAACTTATGTCCCTAGTTTACTTAAATATCATTTCAAAGATTCCGCCCTTCAGTGTAGCATATATATACAGAATCGCCCAATACAGTACTAGAGCTTTTTTTGCTTATCCTTAGTACACGTGGTACAGGCCATGATAATCTTGGTGGGTAGAAGTAGGCGGTTGCTTTTACTGTAAGTGCACCACATGTCTACACATGTGAAAAGCAGATCGACTTTGCCCTTACAAATGTGCCAGAGCTCCGTTTGGTTACATGCACTCACTGGTGGGGTTGAACTTTTGCAAGAATCGAGGGCCATTGGAGCATTTTATTTTTTTAAATCAGAAAAAAGCCCAATGCAGGAATCGAACCCGGGTCATAGCGGTTGAAAACCAACGGTTTAGACCATCCTTCCGCCGACCCCCTGTACTAGAGCTCTAAAAGTGGTCTGTTAGACTAAATTGGTGAAACTGATGTGAGGGTTCACCACTGATGAGCAAAGCCCTCCCAATATTTTTCATCTCTGTAAGGACAGTAGAAGTTTATTTTATGTGTAAAAGAAACATTCGTGCTTTAATGACTTCATTTATTATATATAGATGTGGCACACGTTATTACCTTATAATTAAAGTTAGTATAAAATCCATTTCCCCCACAGTTAGCTATATTTCAAGGACAGCATCATTTGTGCTACACAGAACAACAGTTCTTCTGAGGACCAGACATATGTAAGAGACTTGTTCTGGCTCAATGTAAAAGCCTAATACAGCTGACTACTAGCCCAAAAGCTGAACCATTTTGAAATTCTGCAGAAGGAGACGTAGGCATGCTACACACACAAAGAAGCATCCTATCTGAACTGATTAATATAATGACATTCTGTGTAAAAAAAATGTTATGTGTTTATTTTACAGCCTTAGAGTTAGCTAGATTTTCATAAGCCTCAGAAGCAGACCATTTCTTCATCACATTGAGGATCCAGAATGGCATCACCTGCCCCAATTTAATAAATACCAAGAGACAATGCATCAACACACATGGAAAAAACTTAAGGAAGTTGTACCTTATAACATGTATATCAGGATTCAGACAATAACTCTGAAAGATATTACAGTAACCTTTATTGAAGACACAGGATAACCAAGTGTGGACAAAATTGAGTCTGTCTCTAAAAAAAAATTAGACAACTGGCGACATAAAAGACTTTCCACTTCTTTAAGTTTTGTCCATGAGTGTACTTGTGTGTTCTGTCTAACATAACACAGAAGCAAGCCATATGTTATATATTTTGCCCTTCTTTCAATTTGTTTTGCTCCATTTGAACATAGAGAGAATGCCAGTGTTGGGATCTATCTGAAAGACAGATCTTCATTGTAGTTACCTGCCAGCCCCTCTTCATTTCTTGTCTTTAACTGTCAAACCTATATCAGCCACTTGCTACACCCTGTTAGAAAAATACCTTTTAAATGAATCTCCTGATTCTATGCATGCATGTTGTTTTGTCATCAATTTGCAAAATATTAACTGAACAGTGTGTGTTATCTTTCATTTCTGTAAATTGGCCAATACCCATTCCTGAATTAAAAAGAAAAGTTACCATTTAGGCTGTTGTTGATGTGGTGTAGGTTGTATACTGACAAGTACATTTTAATTCAATGCTGTGTGTGTCTAATAAAAACTTTACTAGTGATGATGAAGCCACAACACCAGTTTTGGTAAATTCAGACAAAAAGCAAACATGTACTAGGGTGATGAACAAGTGCATCGTTCTGATTAAAGGGAGAGTGTAGTGTGTGTCTAATAAAAGAACTTTACTAGTGATGATGAAGCCACAACACCAGTTTTGGTAAATTCAGACAAAACCAACCTGTACTAGGGTGATGAACAAGTGCAACCTTCTGATTAAAGGGAGAGTGTAGTGTGTGTCTAATAAAAAACTTTACTAGTGATGATGAAGCCACAACACCAGTTTTGGTAAATTCAGACAAAACCAACCTGTACTAGGGTGATGAACAAGTGCAACCTTCTGATTAAAGGGAGAGTGTAGTGTGTGTCTAATAAAAGAACTTTACTAGTGATGATGAAGCCACAACACCAGTTTTGGTAAATTCAGACAAAACCAACCTGTACTAGGGTGATGAACAAGTGCAACCTTCTGATTAAAGGGAGAGTGTAGTGTGTGTCTAATAAAAAACTTTACTAGTGATGATGAAGCCACAACACCAGTTTTGATAAATTCAGACAAAAAGCCAACCTGTACTAGTGTGATGAACAAGTGCATCGTTCTGATTAAAGGGAGAGTGTAGGTGAATAGTATACAGTTGAACCTCTTTAATTCAACACCCCAAGGGATCTGAGTTTTCAGTTGAATTAAAGGAAGTGTTGAATTAAAGTCAGATGATTAGCTAATCATCTAACTCGCTAAAATAATATTTTTTAAAAATAGCCTTGTAATATAAATTAATGATATTAATTGAAACCATTGTGTGTTTTTATTTTATTTTCATGATTAACTTTTAGTATCAGTGACAAAATGGCATTAATACATATTTTAGAAACAAATAATTGTAACAAATAAATTTACTGGTAATGTGTTTCTTTTCAGTAATATAATCAAATATTAAATATAATATATTAAATAATATTTTATTCTAATTGAAAAATATAGCAGTTGAAAGGAAATAAATATGGTAAAAATAAAAAGAAAATTTTAAAATATTATTTTAAAATAATCATGAAGAGAGATCTTTTAAAAAAATCCTTTAAAGATGGCTGTTTTTGCACCGAAATCCTATTCAGGATGTATTCCAGATGGTCATTTTGAAAAAAACATGCATGCCTTTCTTCCTCTGAAATGTCTTTTAATAAATAAATTTTAATGTATTAAAGTCATCCACTGCTGCTGCAGGTGTTATTGATTTTATGTTTAAATCTTTTATAATAACACAGAAATGGAATATTGAAATAAAATGTTATCATAATCATTGTGGCTACATTTTATAAAGATTTATTTATTTAAAAGGAAATTATTTGTAAATTTTAAAATAACTAAAATATTTTATTGCTGAAATTTAAAAATAAAATATTGCCAATTAGCGCACAAAGCCTAAATCCCAGCGTAAAAAAAAAAAAAAACAACAAAAAACTCGCGACATTGCGCAACCGCACTGCAAAGTGAAACTTAAACTAACCAGGAACCAAAAGTGCGCGCGCGCGCGATCCTATCGGCGCCCGCCGATCGCCGCCGTAATACCTTTTTAGCGGAAAGTTGTATGTAAAAAAAACATTCAATTGTCGAAATTCGAATTTTAAAATGGTCGAACTATCGGAAGTGTCGTATTATCGATATGTCGAATTACGGTTTGTTATTTGATAGGTCGGGACATCAGAACATGGTCGAATTATCGCCGAGTGTCGAATTGGTGTGTGTCGAATTAACGAGGTTATACTGTATTGTAAAACGAAAATTGCAATTATACCGCGAATGTTTCTTTTAAACAAAAATCGAAATCTATTTCAAAGAGAAATAACGACTATTTCTAACTTTAAGGATGAAGTATGAAAGGGTGAAAATATGAAGAGTAATGGCGAACGGAAAAATAAAAGTGTCCAGGGGCGGGAATCGAACCCACGACCCCATATGTCCAGGATAGCCTAGTGGACATGGCATCTGCCCGGTAAGCGGAAGGTCGTGGGTTCGATTCCCGCCCCTGGACACTTTTATTTTTCCGTTCGCCATTACTCTTCATATTTTCACCCTTTCATACTTCATCCTTAAAATTAGAAATAGTCGTTATTTCTCTTTGAAATAGATTTTGATTTTTGTTTAAAGAAACATTCGCGGTATAATTGCAATTTTTGTTTTACAATCATCAGCCGCGCCCGTTATATTGTATTTTAAAATACTGTATTGTGTTTTAAAAGTGGAGAAGTTGAGTTTATAAGATTGAAATAAGTGTGGCTGGGACAACATTACATGGGGTGTGTGTGGTCCAGACTATATTTGGGGAGCTGATCTACATGGAGTCCAACTCGGACCTTCTCCGGCTCTCCATGTTCATCATCACCAGGGTGCTGATGAATCCGGACATCTCCGCCTCCTATGTCCATCCGAAGGTTCCCCACTTGTATGCAGAAGGTACGGCTGCACTTTGCTAACTTGACAGCCTCAACCAGTGGCAACTCACCTGACTGTATTTTGTCTCAATTTATCTGACAAAAACTCAGCAGTTTGACATCAATAGACAGAGTGTTGGTGAAAGACTAATATAAACTGTTCACTTTCGACAGCTCCAACCTGGAATCAAATCCCGCATTGGGCCCTTTTTTCTAAAGATAAAAAAAAAATTAATTCAATGGTCTCCATTTCTTACAAAAGTCCAACCTCATCATTGAGCGTGAGTAACCAAACAGATCCCTGTAAAAGGACACCTAATTGCAGAGCCATGTGTCCTTTAGGGAAAAATATTCTCTTACCGGAGAGTTGCTAAATAATAAAAATGATAATTTTACAAATGAAAACTGTCCTTTGTAGAGAGGCATTCTCTAGCGTGAGTATCCTCTCATGGAGGTTCTACTGTATAATAAATACTTTGCTACAACATTTTATGAACCATTTAATTAATAAAAGGTATGTCTAAAGAGGGGGGAGTGTTGTGTAGGGTACGAGGAGGAGCTGAAGAAGTTCACACTGAAGAAATTCCTGCTGTTGGTCCACTTCCTGGACCATGCCAAGAAGTCCCGGCTAATTGACCATGACCCTTGTCTTTTCACCAAGAATGCCAAGTACAAGGTGAGAGGGAAATCCACTCGGGTCAGGCTGTCTCTCTGAAGGTTTCAAACATTATTTCTTGTATTCTGTCAACCCTCTTTCCCTGTAATGTGTCTGCTGGGGGTGACTAAAGCTCATCAATGGAGATTTGACATCCATAATGAGATTGAGTGAAGTAGAATGCATCTGCTTTTGTCATTAAGACTGGGAGCACTACTCAGTAGCAGACCGATTTGCTCCAATATGAAATGGCCGCCTTTGACATGAGGAACAGAAACCATGTGCACAGCTGCTCCTAACATGGAGTACAGACTTTGCTTATCCTGTATTCTTGGATCAAGAGTCCCTACAGGGTACTATCAGCCAGGTCAGCTGAGCCCAGGTTTTTTAGTGAGCTTATTACTGCTCCATCCCAGCTTGAGACTGGCAAAAGCAGAGTTGTGAACAAAGTGAAATAGGGCTATGGCACATTTTAACTACAAAAGTAAAATGTTCTCCACATGTGTAGTCATATGGTGTACTAACTCTAACAATCCTGGCCATTTGTACTTGGGATCTATCTAACACATGTGTAGTCATATGGTGTACTAACTCTAACAATCCTGGCCATGTATACTTGGGATCTATCTAACACATGTGTAGTCATATGGTGTACTAACTCTAACAATCCTGGCCATTTGTACTTGGGATCTATCTAACACATGTGTAGTCATATGGTGTACTAACTCTAACAATCCTGGCCATTTGTACTTGGGATCTATCTAACACATGTGTAGTCATATGGTGTACTAACTCTAACAATCCTGGCCATGTATACTTGGGATCTATCTAACACATGTGTAGTCATATGGTGTACTAACTCTAACAATCCTGGCCATTTGTACTTGGGATCTATCTAACACATGTGTAGTCATATGGTGTACTAACTCTAACAATCCTGGCCATGTATACTTGGGATCTATCTAACACATGTGTAGTCATATGGTGTACTAACTCTAACAATCCTGGCCATTTGTACTTGGGATCTATCTAACACATGTGTAGTCATATGGTGTACTAACTCTAACAATCCTGGCCATGTATACTTGGGATCTATCTAACACATGTGTAGTCATATGGTGTACTAACTCTAACAATCCTGGCCATGTATACTTGGGATCTATCTAACACATGTGTAGTCATATGGTGTACTAACTCTAACAATCCTGGCCATGTATACTTGGGATCTATCTAACACATGTGTAGTCATATGGTGTACTAACTCTAACAATCCTGGCCATTTGTACTTGGGATCTATCTAACACATGTGTAGTCATATGGTGTACTAACTCTAACAATCCTGGCCATTTGTACTTGGGATCTATCTAACACATGTGTAGTCATATGGTGTACTAACTCTAACAATCCTGGCCATGTATACTTGGGATCTATCTAACACATGTGTAGTCATATGGTGTACTAACTCTAACAATCCTGGCCATGTATACTTGGGATCTATCTAACACTGTGTGGGTCCAGTCCAGCAGAGAGATGGTCCTGGCTTTCTCCCGGGACCTCCTGCGGGGAGAGGGGGATGTGGTGAAACACCTCCGTCTACTGGGCTACTCCGTGGGTCACCACCAGCACAGCTTGGAGGAGTTTGAATATGCCGTCACCAACCTTGCCTCGGACCTGCGCTGTGGCCTGCGCCTCACGTACGATGCTCTCTTAGATTAGTAGATTGGGACATTGCAGTAAAACCCCCCTTGAGAGACCACCTAAATAACCCTCCTGGTCACTCCCAGAGGTTATTGGAGCTTGGGTTATGTGGGTTTTTGAGTTCACCAAGGTGTAACTTTGGTTCTACTGTACCAATAATCCAGACAGAGTACCTGTTACAAATTTGATGGTGGGTGGTAGCAATTCAGCTTTGAACACATCCCACATACATTTTGAATTTTGGTGCTTTTTTTTTTTTTAATATTCTTGCAATATTCTCTCTATTTTTTGAGCTCTAGAAGATTTCAACATGGAAAATAGTTTAGCTTGGTAAAAAGGGGTTTTGTTTATAAAAGACTACTGATGGTTTCATCACTGGGATAAGCCAGGCCCTTACAAATTTTTTTTCATCAAGGATAGCAGGAAGTTTGTTTTATTTGTTTAAAAAAATAATGATAAATAGTTTTATAAGAATTTTAGCTATGTTGTTGTTGTTGTTGTTTCTTATCCCCTTGTGTAAAGATTACACGAATTCCATGAGTTCATGCTCCTCGAGCTGTTTTATGATGAGCAGCGGCCTCTCCCAAAGGTCCTGTTTAGTGCATCTAATGCAAGTCAAAATGTGTTCTGGAGCTGCAGGTGACAAGCTACATTTTGGGCAAGTGGGGTAGATTTTGTTATTATTTTCTATCTTCAATGGCTTGAGATGGCCTGTTCTAAATCTTGTTAGTGTTGTTTGATGCTGTCTATTTCTGATGTTCAGAGCTCCTCCTGGGTTCACTCCACTGTACCAACTGTGCTTAGGTGGGATCCTCCAGTTCTTATTTATTTTTGTTTTGGCTACTGTTTCTATTTCTTTAAAAGTAAGTTTATTTTTCTGTGGCAAGGGTTCTTTTGTGCCTTTTTTCGCTAGCACATCAGCAGCTTCATTGCCCTCAATTCCAACATGTGAGGGTATCCATTGAAGGTGAATTTTTGAGGTTTTTGAGAGTTTTTGGAGATAGCCAATTATGTTCCTGCTTACTTTGTCTCTAAGTTCCCCTGTGTGACTCAAGTGTTGTATGGCACTTCTACTATCAGTAAGAATCCAGATATCTTGATAATTAGTATTTCTGATGGATTTTAAGGCTTCATAGATGGCTATAAGTTCTGATCTGAAGACTGAGCAAAAATCTGGGTTTCTTCTGTTCATTTTCTCAATGCCATTTGTGGTTTTGATGAGACAGCCACTGCCAGTGTGTCCTAGCTCGTCTCTGCTACCATCGGTATAAATAGTTATTGCATTTTTAGGAATGTTATTAATTATTTCTAATGATAATTGTTTTAAGTATTCTGGATTTTGGCATTGTTTGTTGGTGGGTTCATTTAAAGAGGCATTAAAAATAACATTTTGTAGTGGTTCGCATGGAGAAATTTTTTCTGCTAAATAATTTTTTTCTACTTTATATTTTAAAAATCCATTTCTTTTGGCCAGGTGGAGAGGGCCTTCTTTTTTGAGTCTTAGATTGGATTCCCAATTAAGTATGTAATTGGAAGTTCTGTGTTTGTTTCCATAACTCTTGATTTTGTTTATATATTTTGGCAGATTGTAGCTTCTTCTATCCTTTAAGGGCATAATGTCTGCCTCGTAAAGTACAATATCGTTAGGGCAGGTATTTCGAACACCTGTAATAATTCTAGCTGCACTTAGTTGTATCCTTTCCAGTGATTTTAGACTTGTTTCAGATGCTGTACCATAGATTTGATATCCATATTCCAGGATAGGTCTAATTAGAGATGTGTAAGTTAATTTTAGTGTGGTTGCATCGGCTCCCCACTCTCTTCCTGAAATATATTTCAGGATTTTTAGTCGGTCTCTTCCTTTTCTAATAACTTCTTCAATATGTTTACTGGAGTTAATTTCTGGATCCAGGGTATAGCCAAGATATTTAGGATGTTTATTATATTGCAATTGTTGTTCTTTCAGAATAATTTTTGGTCTTATTTTGTATAGTTTCTTATCGGTAGTAAAAAGACAGGTTTCAGATTTTTGGGGGTTAAATTCTAATTTATGTTTATTAGCAAATTTTTCTAGGTGGAAAAGAGTCTTGTTCAAATCTCTTTCAGCTTTTTTCCAGTTAGTATTGCTGCTCCATAGAATAATATCATCAGCGAAAAGTCCAATATTGGTTTTATGCGAAATTTTTTCTTCTATGCCTGCAATAAATAGGGTGAATAGAGTTGGGCTAAGGACTGATCCTTGTGGTAA